ACGAAGCATCATCGGGGCGCCAGGGCAGCCGCGGAGACCCTTCTCCAGCTCCCCCGCCCCGCGGGCTGCCCCTCTTCTGCTCCCAGACTTCTCCAGACTTCTCTGTCCAAGGACTGTGTGTTCCCCTTCTTTAATCCACCCCACACCCGCAGCCTCAGCCTGGTGCTTTGTCTGCTGCTTTGTCCTCAATCAATTTTGAATGTGTGAGTGATCGGCCTCGCAGTTCTACTTCAGTATTTGTCTATTTTTATTCCTCCCTCTGCCACTTTCTTCCTTGTCACCATATTAATGACAATTTTCATCAGAAGCTCTTTAAATAATTTAGACTCTCAGAAGAATTCTAGGTGGCTTCTGTATCAAGGGTTGCTTAGATGAAAAGCAGGTGAAGGACTTTTTTTTTTTGCAGGCAGCTTTATCTTGTTTCATTTCTTTACATATTGCTCTGTGTGTGTGTGTGTGTGTGTGAGTGCTAGTCCTGGAGCTTGAACTCAGGGTCTGGGCACTGAGTTTTTTTGCTCAAGGCTAGCACTCTACAACTTTGAGCCTCAGTTCCACTTCCGGTTTTCTGGTGGCTAACTGGAGGTAAGAGTCTCACTGATTTTCTTGTCTCAGCTGGCTTGGAACCGTGATCCTCAAGTCTCAGCCTCCTGTGTAGCTGGGATTATGTGCGTGAGCCACCAGTGCCTGGCATGGTCTGGTATTTTTTTTTTTTTTACTGAGAACTCCCCATCCCAGAAACCCCTGGGTGCTCAGTGTTTGTGCCCCTCACTCCTTTGCACCTGCGGGACCCCCCCCTCCCATCTGCCCAGGCCCTCCTCTCCTGGCTGTTTTTCTAAACTTTTTATCCTGTGGATGCAGACTGCAGGCTAGGGGAGGGTCAGGGCCTGTGTGTGGCACATGACCGTGGGGATGGCCAGGCTGATTGCCTGAGATGCTAAACCATTAAAGGGGCCTTGGCAAAGACCTATGTGAATAGCAGTGTGTGTGTGTACTCTCAGGAGTGTGCTGTTAGTCTGTGCACATGGACATGTATGGGTCCTGGTAAATTCACACTACACACAAGGGCCTTTCTGTGTGCCCTGGCTCAGTCTTCCCTCGGGACACCTCTTGTGTTATTTTCGTGGGGCATTTTGGCCTCATTCTCTGTCCTTCAGTGACTGTGTCAAGCACCAATTTACCTCACTCTACCTAGGGACAATCAGTAGCTGGGGAACTCAGAAGCCATGGCCTAATTTTTGGCTCTGAGGTGCTTTGTCCCTCAGTTTCCCCACCAGGCATCTCTGAAGAAGCAGTGGGTTGGGGAGGAGGGAAGCCAGGACTAAGCACTGCACTCCTGTACCCTCTCCCTGTGCAAACACGAATAGTGCTCTGCTGCCCTCTGACCCCGTGTGTTCCAGCCCGTGGGAAATGAAAATAATCACAGCATCTAATTCGGAGGTGCAGTGAAACACAAAGCTTCTGCAAGACAGTCTGGCATACAATAAAAGCTCATTCAGTGCTAATAATGATTACTATTAAAAAATAGTTGAAGCCAGGCGTGGTGGTGCACACCTAAAATTCCAGCTTGGGAAGGTGAGGCTAAGGTAGAATGACAAGTTCGAGACCAGCTTGGGCTACCAAGTGTGCCTCAGACTCAAATAAGACAACACAAAACAAACCCAGATTCCCTTCATTGTCTGCTCTCTCGTCTGGCTACTCCCACTCTCCTCCTCTTCCCTGCCTCGGGTCTTCTCTGTTTTTTACTCTAGTGCTTCCTGGTCACAAGCTGCGACTGGGAAGGCCCAAATGGCACATGGAGCTCTTTCCATCCTGGCTGGGCAGAGACTCCTCACAGGTCCCCCTCGCCCAGCTGTTGTCCACAGGAGCAGGTCTGCTTTGTCCGAAGCGCCCTCTGCTGGCCACTAGCTGATGGTCTTAGGCAAGGGTGGCAAGTTAATGACAGAACTGGGGACGGCTTCCAGGTCCTTCTGAATCAGAGGTGAGTGTGTGTGTGAGCCCCACACAGTACCCAGGAAGGTAACAGTGCTCCAATGACTTGACAATCTCAACCCACCCAGGGAGTGGTCCACAGCAGCCTCTGTGCCTTACACGCAAGCCCCTCTCTTCTCCTTGGCTGAGACAGACCCCAACCCCCCTACCCCCCAACAAAAGCCCTGACTGGACATTTGGGCATAGTCCCATGGGAAAAAGATTCCAGTTTCTGGTTTTGTCAGTCCTGGGGCTTCCACTCTGGGCCTGGGTGCTATCGCTAGCACTCTACTACTTGAGTCACTTCTGGTTTTCTGGTGGCTCATTGGAGATAAGAGTCATGGACTTTCTTGCCCAGCCTGGCTTTGAACCGAGATCCTCAGAGCTCAGCCTCCTGAGTAGCTGGGATGACAGGTGTGAGCCACTGGCGCCCGGCTCAAAAGATTCCAGTTTTCCAGCTCTTTGCAGGACTTCAGCTGAAGCAGGAGAAATGGAAACTGGGCAGCTGGGAGCTTGGGCCTGAGAGCAGGGGTGTGTCTGTTTTGTCCCTTTAAGAGCCTGCACTGGAGGGTTGGGGATTTAGCTAGTGGCCAAGTGCAAGGCCTCAGCTCTGCAGCCAAAGTCTGGCTTGGGAAGTCATAGTAGAGACATTGGGGGAGCTGGGCGCCTAAGCCAAGGCCCCTGAATTCTCAGGGCTTGGGGGGCGGGCAGAGCCATGGGTGATGTCTCTTTTGCACAAAGACAAACAGCTTGTTCCGGTGCACAGGGGGTGTGGTCTCTGCAAGGGGGGTGCAGGGGCCACAGAGGATTTCACTAATGTCCAGGGCAAGCTAATGGGACCCCCAAGAGGGCGAGTCTCAACATCATTTGGGGTGCGAGGATGAGATAGGCCTTCTGCAAGTATGCCAAGGACTAGGGTGGAAGAGCAGGGAGGCTGGGGAGGGAGCTGTGGGGACCCGGATGGCGGAAAAAGAGACAGCAGATAGACCTCCCCACCCAAGACCCTGGGGGAGGGCCCACAAGGTGACCTTGGTGCTGGGAGAGACCTGGCAGTAGGTGGGAAGCAGGATGAGGCGGTTGCTACTGAGTGTCTCGGACAGCTTCCCGTCTCCTGACTGCCCCGCGTCCACTGAATGCATTCAAGAAGCACCTCTCCAAGCTGAGTACCACTGGCTCACACCTGTAATCCTAGCTGTTCAGGAGGCTGAGATCTAAGGATTGAGGCTTAAAGCCAGGCCGGGCAGAAAAGTCTGTGAGGGCTAGAAACAGAGCCTTGGCTTGAGTGGTAGAACACAGGCCTTGAGCAAAAAAGTTGAGCAGTGCTCAGGCCCCGAGTTCAAGCCCAAGACTGGCGTACGCATATGAAAACGTCCTTCCCAACTCCCAGTCACCAGAGCCACGGGAGCCACGAGCACGAACCCGCTTACATTGTCAGCATGCCACCCACCCGTGCCGGGGCACTGGGGCCTGAGCACTTGGCCCTCTGATGACGTGGATGGCAGCCCAGGAGGGCATGGGTGGCATCTCTGTAGCCATCTCGTACCTACCATGCTGGCTGAAAGCACCAAACACTTGGGCAGAGACCAGAATCTCACCCAGAAAGAACTGAGGCCAGAGGCTTGGACTGTGGGAGAAAGGAGGGAGAGGCCTGGGGAATGGTCTGGGGGTTCAGGTACATACCTGGCTCCCTCCTGCAGGAGCCCCCCCCCCCCCCCCGCTTGGCGACACACACAGGGCCAGGAAATAGAGGACGTTTAATATTTCTGTGCAGGTCAAATGCAGCACAGGTGGGGTACATGGGGGGAGGCTCTTGCCTCACGGGGGGGGGGGGGGGGTCTGTGCAGGGGTATGGGGTTTGCTTGGGAGAGATCCAAGGAGTCTTCTCAGCCAAGGGCCTGGCAGGGTGCTCAGTGTATCCCCCCCACACCTCGTCCTTGGTTTTGGTTCGGGGTCCCCCATAGGGGGTTGGTGGAAAGTCCCACATTTCCAGCTCTTTCGCTAGAATCCACGCTCCCAGTGGGATGGGGGACTTGGTCCTAAAAAGAGAGGGGTCCGGGAGCCCCCAGGAAGCAGCCCAGAGTCAGGAGCCAGGGCTGTCTCCTCCCTCCTTTCCCCAGGCGGGGTAAGGGCAGAGGGGAGGAAGGGGAGCAGAGCCCCCAGCCTCTAATGAGTCCCAGGGTCCTCGGGTGGGGTTGAGGAGGGGCGGAGGGAGAGGGTCTTGCCACCAACAGACACTGTAAACTTTGGTTTAAAACAATAAGTTAAGTGGAGGGGCTGGGCCGGGGAGGGGCAGTAGGTATTCAGTAGGCGACAAAGGAAAAAGCCAACAAAAAGTTTTGGTTTTTGCTTCCGGCATAAGAAAGGTCTTTGGTCATCCATTTTAACTAGGGGATGGGGTAGGGGGCTGGGGGGGTGGTGTAGGGACTGCAGTGGGGGGGAGGGGGGATCTCCAGCCAGTCCTGGGGCGAGGCTGGATTTCAGCCTGGCTTCCCCCTGTGCCACAGTGGATGTTTCTAGAGTCTATCAGATGGTGCTCAGGCTGCAGGGGTGACCTGACTCCACCTGCCACAGCACCCAGCAACCAGTACGGGCATGGGGGCCAGCCTCAGTCCAGACTCAGAACAGAGGGGCCCAGGGGCTGGTCTGAATGTCCACACCCTACCCAGGGGTCAGGGCTAGTTAGGGTTACAGAGCAAATCTTCACAGTACAGAAAAGACAGGGGGGTGGGCACAGAGGAGGGGGGCCCCCTCCGGACAGAAACCATTGCCAGAGCCAGGCCAGGGGCGGGGAGTGAGGGGACTCAGCCCCGCCTGCGGGTGTTCATGGCACTGAGGGGCCTGTAGGGGGCGCTGGTGGGGAGGAGGGCCCTGCTGCTGCTGCTGCTGCTGCTGGTGGTTGGGGGAAGCGGTGTTCAGGTGTAGGGGAGGGTTGGAGAGGGCCAGACCCTCCATGTCCTCTACCGGTCCCAGACCAGGGGTCGTATGTCCCCAAGTGTTTGTCGGTCAGGTTGTCTTGGAAGCTGCTAGCTCAGGCCTCGGCCACCTGAGTCCTGGAAGTGCCTTGAGGTTGGAGGGGCTGTGGAGTGGGGTAGATGGGCCCAGGGTCTGGGCAGTTGGAGGAGGGGGGGCGCGTGGTATCTCACCCCTCCCCTGCCCTGCCCACCCCTCCAGACCCTTAGGATAGCTCCTCTCCTGGCAGCTCCTCCTCCAGGTCCCTGTCTTCGGGGGGTCCCACGATGCTAGGAGTGGGGGGCACCAAGGGGGGCCCAGGTCGCCGTTCCTCCCCTGCCTCTGCGGGCTCCTCCTTCACCTGCACCTGGTGGCTGCGCAGAAGGGATGAGGTGGGGGGGGGGGGGCGGTATGGGGGTGGGCTCCGTATCCCCTTGCCCCCAAATGTATCCCAAACCCATGGGCCCTCCCGGAACAGCAACACCCCCGACTTTCCCAGGACACCTCAAAAAGAGGGTGTCAGGATGGAGTGGAGAGAGACACGGGGAGAAGCCATGGGGAGAGAGGGTGGAACACAGGGGGGAAGAACGAGGAGGGAGTGGAGAGCTGAGAGGCCTTGGAGGAGGGAAGAGGAGGGAAGGGTCCTGGGGCAGGAAGGGCTTCCTCCGGGAGTCTGCGGGCTCCCTGTGACCTGTCTCACCTGTACTGGGGAGGGGAAAGGCGAGGAGGGCTGCTGCTGCCATTGCTGGGCAGTGGCTCTCCAGGGGCGCCCCCATCGTCCTGGCTGAGGGGCAGGAGGCTGCTGGCGGAGCCCGGGTTCAGCATGCCAGGGCTGCTGAGAAGCGGGAAGCTGCTCTCTGCCAGGGCGGCCTGGGGCGGGGGCGGGGGGGGGGGGACACGCAGGGCTGGGGTGATCAGCAGCTGAAGGAGGCGCCTTCTCACCCTCCTCCTGCCCATCACCACAGCTGCCTGGCCCAACTCTGCCTTTGGCATCCAGCCGCCCCTCCCAGGCCGAGCCCAGAGCTCTGACCTCCCACCGCCCTGTTTTCCTGGGCACCTGACCTGGTTAAACCCTCCCCCGGGAGACGCGTCAGGAGGCAGCAGCTACACCCTGTGTGCTGCCCAAACCCAGCCTTGAAAGGGCTGGACCAAAGCGGATGGGGCAGGGGACAGTCACCTGGTAGCTGGCATTAAGTGCTCCATAACTGAGACCGGAGATCATGTTCTTCACCAGGGTGGGGCTCCTGGGGAGAGAGGGGGGGCTCCAGCTCATCCATGGCCCAACTAAGGGCAGGGCCATGCTGGGCTGTGTGGGTGTCAGCCTGGGAGTCCGGAGCAAGGTCCTTATTCCTGGCTCCCACCTGGCCCGGGAGGTAGCACGCCCCCCCCCCTCCCCCCACCCCCAGGCATCTGCTGCACCTGCTGGCTCTGGGACCTGTCCTGTCTGAGCACAGGATGCTTCCCAGTCTTCACCACTGGGCACTGCTGATGGCCTGTGTGCCCTGCCCCCCCCCCCCCAACCAATGAAATGAAGAACTGAGGGCAGGTATCAGAGGTGGGCTCATGCTATATGGACAGTGTGGACCCTTGGGGGCAGCAGACCCTCAGCCATGGTCCAGGCGATAGCAGATGGCATCTGTCTATGTTCCAGCCCTGGCTGTGGGGACTCTGCCTTATTGTGGTACCAGGTCCCTCTTGGCTACTTCTCTTGATCACAAGAAGCAAGGACAGCTAGGTGTCAGTGGCTCATGCCTGTAATCCTAGCTACTCGGGAGGCTGAGATCTGAGAACAGCGCTTCAAAACCAGCCTGGGAAGGAAAGTCTGTGAAACTTTTATGTCCAATTAACAAGCGAAAGCCAGAGTGGAGCTGTGGCTCTTGCTGTGAAGGGCCAGCCTTGAATGAACATGCTAAGGGAGAGCACTCAGGTCCTCAGTTCAAGCCCCAGTATGGGCACACACACAAAAGGAAAAAGCAGTCGCAAGCGTCTGCTTTCAGGGGGGTCCACGTACCCGGTCATCTTTGGCGGTCTCCGCTTCTGATACTCGCGTTCATCCACAGTCCACACAGCACCCTTGACGTTCTCCACACGGACGAAGCACTTGTGCAGGCTGAGGTTGTGGCGCACGGCATTCTGGGGGAGCAGGGGACAGGCGCTCAGAGGCAGCCGCGGGGCCTGCTCTCCATTCAGTGAGCGTTGAGGTGGCGTCCTCCAGCAGTCCCATGTCCCAGGTGGCAGTAGCTACCTTTCCCAGCACAGTGACAGCGACAGCCAGAGGGAAGGAAGGTCCCTCCCCTATCCATCCTGCCACCAGGGAGCCCCACTTCCTCTCACTGGCAGCCCACTTCGCTATCGGCCCCCTCTCCCTGCCACACTTTAGAAAACGCTGTTTGCCGACTAAATGACATCTAGGCAGCAGTGATTACTTTCCCTGTCATCACTGATCAAAGACACGCGTGGCTGTGACTCAGAGCTGCTGATGGTAGGATGGTGATAGGGTATCCGGGACACAGCTCATCACGGGCACATGCAGCGCTCCCTTTGGATTCTGACAAATTTGGAAGTCACTCATGACCTTCATGGTGATCTGCACCTACCCCTGGGAGACCGAGAGCCACAGCCTGGAGCGACTGCCTAATACACACTTGTAGAAATAAACCACCTGCTAACCGGGAAGGAGTGGCTAGCTACAGGCAAGACGGAATGAGAGAGAGTGAGAGAGAGAGGAGAGGGGGAGGAGAGAAAGAAGACAAGAGAAGACAAGACAGGAGAAGAGAGAAGAAAGGAGAGGAAAATCTGTCACCTTGTTCTTCCTCTCTCCTCCTGGCAAGGTAAATTCAGGAATTGAGGTCATCTGGCTTGTAGGTCACTTGGGTGAGAGCAGGCTGGCTGGACCCAATTCCCCACTGACAGCCCAGGCTAGGGACCTAATCCATCTCCTGCTCCTCCTCCACGTCCCTCAGTCCTGCCTGTGCACTCTGTCCTCAGATTTTCTGTCCCCTACCTCCAGCCTCCAATATCACCATCATCGCCATTCCTGCCTTCGTGCCCCCACCCCCCACCCCGTCCCTGTTACCTGTCCTCTGTCCACTCCCCCCATCTCTTCTTTACATTTTTAAGTGGGGAAGAAAACGGGCAGGGCGGGCAGCCGGTGCCCCTGGAGACCCCCCCTCCCTCTCTCCCTTCCAACTCTTGCCACTTGCAACTGGCCCGATTTCATTACCAATTTTAATTTGCCTCTAATTAAATCCTGTGTATTTTTCCGACTCGCTTGCTAATCCACGAGGGAGGCGGGCGGCTGGAGTGGAATCTCATGGAGCGATAATTACAAAGGGCCTAATCACGCTGGGCTCCTGCCTTGGAATAAATTTGCCCGCATTACGGGGCTCCGATCCTCCGCTTTGCAAATGAGAATGACCCCAATTTCCGAGGATGGCCTCACCGGGGCTTTTTTCCCTCATTTCGAAGCCTGATTCGTGATGGGAGACTAATTCGTTACGCTAAAACATTAGCGGCAATTTAAGGGGTCTGGCGGGGGCTGCGTAAACAAAAGGACGGGCCCACAACATGGGTCCTGGGAGGGGATGGACATGCAGGCCGAGAGGACGAGGCCTCGGCAGATGGCAGCTCTGTCCCTGGAGCAGCAGCAGCTGGCCAGGCCCACACCCACTCACAGTCCTTCTGCCCTCGTCTGAAGCAAATGGCACCTGGGTGTGGGGTGGGGGCCAGAAAGGGTGAAGGAGAGAGGGTAAGAGGAAGACCAAATACCGTAGGGCAGGGAAGTGGTGGAAAGCGGAGGTCAAAGGGAAACTGTAGACAGAGAATACTTCACAAGTAACACAAATGAAGTGTGGCTTTAAAAAAAGAAAAAGAAAACAAAACCCCTTGAGTCCAGAGCCCGTGTCTCACACCTATAATCCTAGCTACTAAGACTGCGGGACTAAGACTGCAGGATTATGATCTGCGGATCACAGTTGAAAGCCAGCCTGGGTAGGAACATCCTTAAGACTCCATTTCCAAAATGACTGGCAAAAAGCTAGACCGGAGGCGAGACTCAAGTGATAGAGCAACAGCTGAATAAGCAAGCCAAATGAACCCAAGGCCCTCAGTAATGGCAATATCAATCAATCACTCAATCCATCAGTCAACCCCCTTGAAAGTCAAAGTGGATCTTAAGCATAGACAAAATCTAGTCTGCCACTGGTAGTGCCAGGCACGGCAGCCTCGGGCAGCAGAGCACTGCTAACTGGGACGGCCACTCAGTCATTCACTCCGCCTAGCCTGGCTGGCTGCTTACTGCTAGTTAGGGAAGAGACTGAGGTGAAGGCAGACATGACCAATCCTGGGTGACCTGTTTTCAGCTCTTGATTGCAAGAGGCGACACATGCAGACAATCCAAGGAGAGAAAAAGGTACTCTCCTCTAAGAGAAAAGGCTACTGGATGAAAATGAAGCTCTACATTCCACCTCAAAAGAGGCAAAGGATTAACAAACGGCAGCATCCAAATTGACGTTAGATCACAACTGTAGTCTTTCCTCTGTACAGAACCACCACTGCTAAAACCTGGTATCTGATCTGGCTTGAACGGTGGAGATCAGCCCTGGTAGCCCCAAGAGGGCCAGGCTGGCTCAGAAAGAGGGTGAGACTGTGGTTGGCAGGAAATGACATCACTCATAGCCAATCAGAGCAGCTGCTCTAGCTATCTAGTCTCTCTTCCCAGGCTTTGGGGGCTAGGCATGGGGACCTGGGAGAATATGGAGCAGAACCTCCTCCTGCACTCTGCAGCTGCATACTCCAGGGCAGGGGCGGCTGGGGCCATGCAGACCCCACCTCACCCTGGGCGCTGGGGGGGGTGGGGGTGGGGTGTGGAAAGAGGCCTCCCAGTAACACTTGTTGAAATCTTGGGGGAGGGGAGAAGGATGAGCTTGTTTAAGTGCAGTTTCTAAACTGGCCAGCAGGGGGACTCGAAAGCCAGAGATTCAGAAAGGTTTAGCGATAGGGACGCCCTCAGGTGTCCCTCTGTATGGGCAGCACACACATGCACACACACACACACACACACACGCACACGCACACACACACACACACACACACACGCGCGCGCACACACACACACACACACACGCCCTATTTTGGCTATAAAAAAATAAATGGCTTAGCACCCAAGCTCACATCTCTGTGTCCTATTTTTTCTAGGGGTTCCCCTCTTGCATTCCCCTGGTCTCTCAGGAAAACTCCTAATGACTGAAGGTGTTAAAATGACTAATTGGATAGAAACAATTATCTTCCTGCCACTGGTGGCAGAGCTGCGGAGTGTGAGTGGCTGGGTTTGTGTTTCAGAGTATGCTCCACTAGCCCCCATCCATGCCTGTTATCCCCGCCCCACTCCCAGGTGGAGCATTCAGCCAACGTCCAGATCTAAGCGTGGACTCACCACCAGCCTGCCCACTACTGCCTCCTGAGGCCCTACTGCATGGGGCTGGAGTCTGTGGACTAGAGCAGAACAACCGAGAAAAGAGAAAGACTGGTTTCCACAAAGGCAGGAACACAGAGGGGCCCTGGGAGCTCATGTTTGTAATCCTAGCTGATCAGGAGGCTGAGATCTGAGGATCACGGTTCAAAGCCAGCTTGGCCAGGGAAGTCTGTGAAACTCTTATCTTCAATGAACCACCCAAAAGCTAAAAGTAGAGCTGCAGTTTTAAATGGTAGAGTGCTAGCTTTGAGCAAAAAACCCCAAACCAAACCCACCCAGGGTAGCATCCAGGCCCTGAATTCAAGCTCTAGAACCAGCTCAAAAAAAAGGAGGGGGGGGAAGTAGTATAAAGCTGGATAGGATCATTAAAAGACAGGGGAATGCCTGCTTTGCATGCATAAAGCTTTGGATTCAATCTTGTAACTCTCTCTCTCTCTCATGACGGTGCCTGGTAGCACATGCCTGTAAGTAATCTTAGCTACTTGGGAGGCTGAGGCAGGATCCTTCTGAGGATCTTCTTTTGAACCCAAGAGTTCAAGGCCAGCTTGGGCAACATGGTGAGTCTTTATCTCAAAGAAGAAAAAAAAGCTAGTCAAGGAACAACACTCAGCAGCTCTTGCTGAGCTGGGGAGAGGCCTTGGTTCTGCCTGAGGCTTGATGAGCTATTCATTTTCTTTTTTGGGAGGAGGGTGGTACTAGGGTTTGAACTCAGAGCCTCACTAGCCTTCTAGTGAGCCATATCCTGCCCCTGGCGGGCTATTTCTGCAGAACTCAATGTTGAGAGGAAGAACTGTTAGTCTTGCCCTGGAAGGGAGGGAGATGCCTGGGGTGCCGGGAGGGCAGGGGGAGGAGGCGTATACCTCACCTTCCAGGTAGCGGTGTTTCTGCGGAAGTAAGCGAACATCCTGGTGAACCAGTTATAGATCTCATTCAGGGTCAGCTGCCTGTCAGGAGTTTCCAGAATGGCCTGTGGGTGAGAAAAGAGCAGAGACCCTCAACCTGGGCCTGGTAGGGCCTCACTCCCGTGTTCCTTCCCTCTGCCTGGGCCCTAGCTAGCCAGCGTGGACGAGTCACTGCAGGCAAGAGGATAGAGACGGGCAGATGTGGAGGTCCCCTGAGGGTCAGCCGGGCCTGTTCGGCCAGCCTGCAGGAGCACAGGGGCTTCTGAGGACAGCTTCACACACCAGGTCCTGGAGGGAGGACGAGAGTAAAATTCTCAGAAGTGATGTCCATGGGGTGGAGTTGATTGGGATTTTCCCAGAGCATGGAGAGGGACATGAGAATGTATATAAGGTTCTGTGTACGTGCGTGTGCATGTGTGTGTGGGGGGGGGGTATGACAGAGAAAGAGAGTGCTGCCCGCTTATCACAAGTAGATGCACATGGACATGACAGATGCCTGACAAACCTAGTGCGTGTGGGCAGTCAAATCAGTGTGCCCTAGTCACCGTGCGACACGTGTGTGAGCAGCAGGTCTGTGTGAGCAGGCAAGATGGAGGGCAGGGCAGTGCCTCTGTGCCATTCCCCAGCCCTCCTCCGCTCCGGCAGCTCACCTGGCGGATGAGGGAGGCGTAGGTGAAGGGGGGCCTGACGTCGGCGTTCTTGTAGAACTCATGATTCTGGGCCAGCTCTGGGGGAGACAGGCAGGGGTGAGGGCCCTGCGGGCGGCGCCCCCCCCCCCCCCCAGCCCTGCTCTAGCGCACCCTTACCTGAGGAGATGGGAGAGCAGAACTTGTCACTGCTTCTCCTGCGGGCTGGGCCCCCGCTGTGCAGGGAGGCAGAGCCCAGGCCAGGGGGCCGCAGGGGGGTGACGGGGGCAGCAGCCGAGGTTGGGGGGTGCACCAGGCCATCTGGGAATGGGTCTGCGGAGACGGTCACCTTGGAGAATGAGGAGGAGCCGGGGACTGGGTTCAGCTGTGAGCAATGGGGGAGGGGAGCTGAGAACAGCACCAAGGGAACTGAATGGAGGGTACAAGGGACTGTGGGGGCTGGGGGGGGGGGGGGCAGGAGGGTCACTCACGGGCTGGCTGAAGGGCTTGGGCTCAGAGGGCCGCATGTGCAGGTGCGCCATCATGGCCTGTAGCCGCTCACTCTCCTTGGCGAGCTGTGGAGAGGCAGCGGGGCGAGGTGAGCCTGGGCTTCCTTTACCCAGTGCGCCAGCACTTGGGTAGGAGGGTTTTGGGGTCAGAAGACCCTTATGTACTTAGTGATTCACATACTCAGGTTCACGCCTATAATCCTAGCTACTCAGGAGCTGAGATCTGAGGAGGACCATGGTTTGAAGCCAGGCTAGGCAGGAAAATCTGAGAGACATTTATCTCCAATTAAGCATCAAAAAGCCAGAAGCAGAGTTATGGCTCAAGTTATAGAGCACTAGCTTTGTGCAAAAAAGCAGAAGGACAGTGCCCAGTCCCACTACAAACAAATAAGCTCATTAATTAATTCAATGGATCTTTTGCTATAACCCTCTCCTGGGAGAGTGCTCTGTGCCTAGCAGATTGGCTGCTTGTTGGACTGTGCCTCAGAGCTTCAAACACAGGAGCCTGACTGCTGCCTAGGTTCTAGGCACAGCTCTGTCACTTGCCGGCAAAGCAACCACCAGAATGGCTTTCTGTGCTCTCTGTATACAAAATGGGATTAATGATCCAGGTGTGACCACATGAGGCTGCCTGCCCTGCACATTAGTTTTTATTTTGGGGGGGAGGGGCTGGTACTGGGGCTTGAACCTCAGCAGTAATGTTGCTTGGCTTTTCCACTCAAGGGTTAGCACTCTTAACACTTGAGCCATAACTCCCATTCTGGCTTTTTGCTGGTTAATTGGAAATAAAGAATCTTTCAGCTTTGTCTGTCTGGGCTGGCTTCGAATCGATCCTCAGATCCCCACTTCCTAAGCAGCTAGGGTTGCAGGCATGAGCACCGTCGCCCAGCTTGTTATTTTTGTGTTTGTGTAGCCGAGTCTTTTCAGTTCCCCACTTTGGTTCACACTCAGAATTCAGCTGTCCTCACCTCATGCCGAGGTAATTAAGACTTAGCATAGAACACTCCCACAAGACTATAGAGACCCTTCCTGGAAAGCCCACATGATACTGGGCAGGGCCCAGCCCATTGTACCCCCACCCCTGCCCCCTTGGGCCACACCTGGATCTCCAGCTGCTGGACCACCTGCATCTGCACACGGCACTGGGCCGTGCTCCGGTCATCCAACGCATGCTCAGTGTTGAGGTGTCTTGGAGGGGAAAAGAGGCGGAGAAGAGAATGGGTCTGGGTTTTCCTGCTTCACCTCCCAACCCAACCTCCAATCCCACTCGCCTTTGGTCTGCAAAGCAGACAGACCAAGAGATACAAAGAAGAGAGAGAGGAAAAAAAAAGAAGAAAAGAAAAACAGGGCAAAGGAGGAAGCCTTCTCGTCAGGCTCCTTTGATGTCTTTGCTAAAACTCAGCAACAGAGAGATCTAATTGCAAATGAACTAATTAAGTAAACCTCTGACGAAGCGTGAAAACAATTTGTTTGACCCTGATGCTGCATGGGTCCGGGAGACAGCAGAGTTAATCAGTCAGTGACAGCCTGGCACTGCGGTGGCAGCTGGCCGCCTGCTGCCAGCCGCCTGTCGGCCTCCCGCCCTGCCTGTCCGCGGCCCTCCCTCTCCAGGCGGTGGGGAGGGCGGCGAGTAGTGAAGTGCTTCCCCCTGAGACTCCCCCTTGTCTGGGTAGGGATGGCAGGCTGCCAGCCAGGGAAAACAGAGGGGGAGGGGAGTGATGGGGGCCAAAGAAGAACCAGAACACCCCCTCCCGCTCCCCTTGCAGGGAAGACACAGGCCAGCTGGTGACCGAAGGCCCCAGAAGGGACAAGCTTGGTGGCAGGCTGGGGTGGGGAGCTGCTGCTGGGGAGGGTCAGGGTGACACTTACTTGATAAACTGACCCAGGTCTTCGCACAGGGTCTCACAGCCTGGCCATTTGCACTCTCCATGTCCATAGAGGGGGTGGGAGCCGGGGGTCTCCTCATGGGAGGAGCTGGGGGGAGGCAGGAGGTAGTTGTGGTTAGAGACACCCCCCCCCCCATGGCCCCAGCTCCACTGCTGGCGCTCTGGGAGACAGGGCCAACTTCTGGGTCCCTGAGCTCTCGCCGGGAGTCCTGGCCAGCCCGTGGGACAGGTCATTGCCTCCCGCTCCCATGCCACCCCCACTCTACCTGTCTCTCCGTGCTGTGAGCACAGTAGGTTGTCCGTTGGGCAGGGGGTGGTGGGAGAGGGGTGGGGAGACCTTGGGGGGGCTGGCAAACGAGGTAGCAGTAGCAGCTGTGCCGGCGAGGTCCAGCCCCTCCTGCCTGACGCTGTCCTCAGCAGGCTGTCCAGGGGCACCCTCGCCCTTCCACAGCTGGGGCAGATCCGTCGGGCACACGGCTGCTGCGGGAGAGATGGGGAGGCTGGCAGGGCCCGGGCCCATCCACGGCCTGCATCTCACCTGGCTCGGGGGCTCAGAGATGGCGGGGGAGCTGGGGGTGGAGGGTGGGGGAGGGTGGGAGTGGGCTCACCTTGCGGGAGAGTCTGGAGGGGCCCTGACGCTTGGCTGGGCTGCAGGCTGACCAGCCCCTGTCTCTGCAGGTTGAGCAAGTGCTGCTGCTGTAACTGTTGTATCTGGAGGAGCTGCTGCTGGAAGGCCAGCTGCTTGTTCCCCAGCGCCTGGGAGGGGGCCCGAGGGGGTGGGCAGAGAGGGGCGCCGTTAGCCTCAGCCGTGCCATCTGGCCCCCACGCTGCGGCCACCCCCTCCCAGGGCCTGTCAGCCCCCGGAGCTGCCGTGGTGGCGTCCGCGGCTGCAGCTTCTCTGCTCCCGGCCCAGCTTCCATAGGGCTGCATGCCTCCTCACAGTAAACACACGCATGCACGCATGCACGCACGCGCGCGCGCGCAAACACACACAGCCAGACCCAGACACGCAGCACGAAGCCCTCCTTCCTTCCCCCTCCCTCCTCCGCGGCTCTGGCTCCCGAGCTACAGCTGTGCATCTGTAGGGAGGGGAGGAAGCTCGCCCTATCACCATGATCAATGAGCCCGTCAGATCTGGGGACCACTCCTGCCTGGAGGGCATCCTTTCCACAGGCCCAGGGCCCCCTCCACTGGGGGGAGGTTCTGTCCCCGCATTCCTCCACCCCTAGATCCCATCCTTTCTTGCTTTTTGGACACAGGGTGGGGGGAGGGTGGGACTTGGTCGGAAGATCAGCTCACAGAGCAGTTCCACTACCACGGCACACACGGCTTCTTCTTCTGCGGACAGCTTCTGCCAGCCCCCTCCCCCTTTCAGGTCTTCTCACATGCACTGACAAGCGAGCTGTCACCAAGCACTCTGAGTCCTGAGAGCCATGCATGCCCTGGGTGTTTGGAAGCAGGGTCATCACTGCCTGCCTGCCTGCCTGCCTGCCTGCCTGGGGTGGAGACTGGCTACTGAATAAGGAGACAGGAGGCTAAACCAACAGAGACTGATGATCTGGAGCATCTGTAAGACGAAGGGTGGCTGAGGAGAGGATGGGGAAAGCCCTGGAAAGAGGCATTAGAGAACCTTAGGCTGCACTGTGGCCAGTTTCCGGGACATGGGTGGTGTCTGGGATGTGGGGAACCCGATGGAGTCACTGTGACCCAGATAGGGCAGGGGGTCTGGGCTGGGGAGTTCTGGAACAAGTTGGTGGGGCTGGGCAAGGCATTATAAGAAAGGACAGGTTGGGCACCATGGTTCATACCTGTAATCCTAATTACTCAGGAGACTGAGCTCGAGGATCACAGTTCTGGCAGGAAAGTCTATAAGACTCTTAACTACCAAAAAGCCAGAAGTGGAGCTGTGGTTCAAGTGGTAGAGCACTAGCCTTGAGTGAAGGACAGCACCCGGACCCACCCACCCACACACCCACACACCCACACACACACACACACACACACAGAAAGCAGCTTAGGCCTCTGCTGAGGGGCTGGGTCTCCAACAGAGGTGGGCAGCAGGATGGCATGACCACAGCAAGCAGCTAGACATGAGCACAGAACATCACTCTTACGCTGGTAACATGCATTCGTGTGCAGTGACAGCTCCAGACAAGGAGAGAAAGAAAAAAATGGGTGGCATGCGAGTAACCTTCCCTCTTACTCCCTTAAAGTCTTCCCTGCAGCTTTTTCCTGGCCTTTCTATTTCCACAAGGCTGACCACTTCCAGACTGCAGCTTGTGTCCAGGAGAGGGCTGGGCTGCAGGTGTGGGGGAGGGGAGCTCCGAGGGCCATCCTGGACTTGGGCCTGGTGGTGATTACAACTACTCACCTCTTTGGGCTGCTGTTTTCCTGCCTGCTGCTGGGTGAGGAGCTGTAGGTGGAGCTGCTCTTGCTGCTTCTTGTAATATTCCTGCAGCTGGAGGAGCAAGGGGGTGGTTAGCCACAGGGCCTGCTGGCTCCAAATCTAGCCTTGTTCTGCCCAGGGTCCTGCAGGGTTCCCTAGAAAAACTGGCCTGATAGGGTCTGTGATCCCCAAGAGCAGAATGTGGGGGTGGGGGCAAGAGGGAGGAGGCAGTCCTCAGCTCTGCTCCTCTGACTTCTTAGTTTTCCTGAACAGGTGACAGGGACAAGGGGCCGGCATGTTCCAGTACTTTGCCCTTCCTGAGTCCTAGAGATGGACATGGGGCCAGCACACAGAAAACCTGGAAGGGGGAGCTGCTGAGGCAGGTGAGACCTTTGGCTCTCCCAGTTGCCCTGAAGGAATGTGGATGGGTCCAGCCTGGGCAGTCTCTCTGGTTTCTACCACAGCCTGAGCCCTCAGCAGGCTGGTGATAGAGAGGGAGGCCAGAGGCCAGGCAATCTGGGGAATCCCGCTATCCTGGGGTCGAACTCACCTGCTGGAGCATGAGGGCCTGTTGCTGCTGGAGCAGGGCCTGCAGCTGTGGGGGTGACAGGATCTGCTGCATCTGCTGGGGGGTAAGCATCTGCTGCGACATCATGGCCACTGACATGGGCACCTGCAGGATTTTCCCTGTTAGTGCCAGGCAGAGCCTGGGGCCTCACACAGGGTGGAAGGACGGTTCCAATGAGACTGCCTGGGTTTGCATGCTGGCCCTGCCACCTACAGCCCTGTCTCTTTAGACACATGACTTAACCTAAAATGGAAAAAGGAAAGCAATGCCTACCTTGAGAGGGTAACACAAGGGTTAATGGCTAGTGGTAGGGCAGAGCCTGTAAGGGCTGGCGGTGATGGTAGGACACTTAGTCCTTGGTGCAGGACAATTAGAGGGCTGTGACCTCCGATTAGTGGAAGCCATCCTTTGGAGGATTTGTCACTCAGTGTGGGGAGAAGCACACAGGATAGTCCCACCTCTGTTCAGTCTGTCCTGAGACCACCAGCTAGGTGCACAACCACAGGAAGAATTTTTTTTTTCCAGTCCTGGCTTAAACTCAGAGCTGGGACACTTTCTCTGAGCTTCTTTTGCTCAAGGCTAGCACTCTACCCCTTGAGCCACAGAGCTTTTTCTGTGTATGTGGTGCTGAGGAATCGAACCCAGGGCTTCATGCATGCTAGGCAAGCACTCTACCACTAAGCCACACTCCCAACCCGACACAGGAAGATTTTAACAAGTGGCCCAGCCAGGTGCTGGTGTAATCCTGTAATCCTACCTATTCGGGAGGCTAAGACTTGAGAATCACAGTTCAAAGCCAACTGGGGCAGCAAAGTCAGTGAGACTCTTTTATCTCCAGTGAAGCAGGAAAAAAGCTGGAAGTGGAGGTGTGGTTCAAGTGGTAGAATGCTAGCCTTGAGTTAAAAAAAAAAAGGGGGTCAAAGGAGGGGCTGGGAAGGTGGCTCAGTGGTAGAGCGCTTGCCTTGCATGCATGAGGCCCTGGGTTCGAGTCCTCAGCACCACATAAGCAAAAAGGATAAAAAAAGCCGGAAGTGGCACTGTGGCTCAAGTGGTAGAGTGCTAGCCTTGAGCAGAAGAGCTGAGGGACAGCGCCCAGGCCCAGAGTTCAGGCCTCACGACCAGACCCCCCCCCCCCCACCAAAAAAAAAAAGGCCAAAGGAGAGCACAAGGCCCTGAGTTCAAGCCCTATCGAGTGTACAAGGAAATGAAGACCTATCCCAGAGGGAGGGACGAGCAGCGGGTGGGGTGGGGGAATCAGGAGGACAGTCTCTCCTTCTAGCTCACGCTAAACTTGTTGGGCAATTTCTAGCAGGTGGTCTGCCCTCTCTGAGGTGTCCCTTTTCCTCATACATAAAGCACAGGCTGGCTCCTAGCGGGAACAGAACACAGGGGATTTGGGGGATACCAGCTTTACACCTTCTGTCCTGTGGTCCAACTACAGGCAAGAGGCTCGGGATAAAGCACCAGTGTTACTCTCCCCACCCCATGCTCCTGAGGCTTGCACAGTCACCAACGGACAGCTCTAAGCCACTACACTCTCCTCTCCCCTTGTACAGAGCAGGTGCTCTGATGCAGCTCTCTGCCAACCCCGTTCTAGAAGCTTTCACTGCCTACCTTGCCTAATCTCTCACTCCCAAGCCTGGCACACAGTAGGTGCTCTTAACTAAGTATATGCTTCCTAAACTGAAATACCTGGGGTGGGAAGGGAGGGGTATAGGGACAGCCCAGTCAGGAAGGAAGTCCTGCAGGAACTTGTCCCCAGAGCCCCTCCCAGAGCCCCAACCCTACCTGGAGGCTGGAGGAGGAGTTGGCTCCCTTCCTGCAGGGGCAGGACTCAGTATCCAGCCATCCTATAAGCCACAGAATAGGAAATTTCCCCAGGCAGAGTCTGAGCAAACAGGGAACACAGGCATACCCTGGAAGGTCCACCGCTAACCCCCTGCCCAACTGGTGGCTAAGCCCTACTCCTGAGCTTCCCCCCTCCCCCCCCCCCCCCCCCCCCCCCCCGTCTCTGGGAGGTGTGGCAAGCTAGCTTTTAGCATGGCTGTACCATGTAATATAAAGGAAGGCTCCTGCCAGGGACCTCTAAGCAGGTGGCAGGTGAGGTGAGGCAGGCTGGAGAGCTCTGTGGGGCTTGTTCCTTACAGCCCATTTCCACCCAGGAGCAGATCAGCGAGGCCACACCTGGGCTTGAAGTAGGAGGGTTAGGATTTAAGACCAGGTCTATGAAGCCGTGGCTCTGGGTGTTTGCAGCTCCCACTAGTTTCTCAACCACAGACCCAGAGGTGACTTTCAAAAGTTGCAACCATATGCTACGCCAAACTTAACTTACAAATTCATTTTCCTCTTTTTCAGAACGAACAGCTAAGAAGACCTTAGAGTGTCTTGTTAAGTGTTTCCTATTTTCAGATATGAACATTATCAGCAGGACAATTCTCTGTGCAGCGGTGTTTGATTCATCTGATAATGACATGGGTCATATCATTAAACAAAACATAGCTGGTGTGGTGGCTCATGCCTGTAATCCCAACTACTGGGAAGGCAGAGATTGAGAGAATCATAGTGTTCATGAGAGGATGACTATGCGTGCAGAAGCCTGTCCACGTTCCATTCCCATGGGAACAGCCCAGGCAAAAAGGCAAATCTGGAAATGGGTAAGCAGGCACGCCGGGGATGGGGGATGCAGCAGTCCCAGTGGAAGGGCAGAAGCAGCCGAGGCCTCAGAAGTAATTCCCTTCTTTGTACCTTCATTCCTGAACCATTCTGTTTTCCATCCAGAGACTGGGTGGAAGGGTTTCAAAAGCCTAGGCAGGAAGTGTTCCACATGAGGTAGGGACCCCGGCCTGTCCTTCCCTTCCTTCTCTCAGGGCACCTGCAGCGGCAAGTGCCAAGCCCTGGCTTTCTGAGTCAGGTGATCGAGGCTCTTTGAAGTCACCAAGCCTCACCTTGCCCACCTTCTGGCTGGGACTCAGAACACCTGCCCTTCCCGTTTCTCACAGTACACAGGCTGCGCTCACCAAGCAGGTTCGGGGCATGGGGCCTGGCCCTATGAGGTGGTACTGTGATGGTTACCATTTCATGAATGAGCGCTGACTAAATAACTTGTCATGCTCCCAAAGGGGCAACAGAAGGGGGTTATCAAAGGGCACTGCATGGCTAGGGACACTGAGACCCAAAGTAGCAGGTGTACCTATGGCAGAGAGAACTGAACTCAGAAGAGATAGACAGGACAGACAGACTAGAGCTGCCCAGAGCCTCAATCCAGGCACTAGAACCGTGAGTCACAGGCAGAAGCACACAGCTAAGGACTGGCCTGGCCTTCCCCAGGGCTTTCCACCTCACAGACACAGAAATAGAAGAGACCTCGGATGGCCTCCCTGGCTCAGGGGCTCCTGCCAGGGTAGCTGCAGAGGCCACTATGAGACCCAGAGGGTGGAGTGCTCATGCATGCCGGCCTCCAGGTGGCCTGATGGGACCAAGAAGTGTCATGAAGTGGCTGGGTACAGCCACCCACCACCGTGCCCCTTAGGGGTGCTGAGAACCGAGTCCCCATGGACTCACCAGACTGGGACATGTTATCACAGGCACTTGCCAGCTGGTAAGCTCAACGGGGCCCCAGGAGGCCCCATCTGGAGAGCAGCCAGGAGCTTCCCTGGCCGGGAGAACTGCATTGAAAGCCAGCAGCTGATCCAGCCCCCTAGCAACTCTGCTCAGGCCCCAGTTCCTCTACCTACCATAAACACAGGGTGCTAGCGGGGAAGAGACGATATCTGACAGAGGAAGTTCATCTGGGGAGCACAGGTCAGAGTGGAAGCAATTTGGTGCCTGAGTGAAGGACTCACACACGTAAGTCAGGAGTCCCTGGGTGAGTGGGGAGCAGTATGGAGACATCAGCATGGAGTGTGATTTGGGTTGACTCCTTTGCAAATAACCAGAAGAAAATTTGCAGACTGGCCAGGCACCAGTGGCTCATACCTATTAATTTGAGCCACTCAGGAGGCTGAGATGTGAGGATCAAGGTTTGAAGCCAGACAAGGCAGGAGAGTCTGGGAGACTCTTATCTTTAATTAATTAACAAAAAAGCCTGAAGTGAGCCGGGTGCCAGTGGCTTATGGCTAGGACTATAGCCACGGTTCAAATCCAACCTAGGCAGGAAAGTCTGTGAGGCTCTTATCTCCAATGAACCACCAGAAAACTGGAAGTGGCGCTGTGGCTCAAAGTGGTGGAGCACTAGCCTTGAGCAAAAGAGCGTGTGTGTGTGTGTGTGTGTGTGTATGTGTGTGTGTGTGTGTGTGTGTGTGTGTGTGTGTGTGTGTGTGTGTGTGTGTGTGTGTGTGTGTGTGTGTGTGTTTACACAGGTTGCAGGGGAACGTGGAGTTGTGGCTCACTAGCTATGGCTAACCTTGAGCAAAAAAGCTCATGGACAGTGCTAAGGCCCTGGATTCAAGCCCCAGGAATGGCACAAAATGAATGGAAATGGAAAAGAAAGGAAAGAAAAAAGGAAGAAAGGAAGGAAGGAAGGAAGCAAGCAAGCAAGCAAGCAAGGTTTCAGTGTAGTTATAGCAAGAAAGTGGTAGGACATTTAGAAAACTTTCCAGAAATGCCATATGGCTGGCCCCAGCCATCTCCTCTGAACTCCCAGCTACCTGTACCACCTCCTGTGATTTGGCTTTCTCTGCCTAGGGTTCAGGCCTGACCTGACCACACCAGTCAATCTCCCCATGTTGTACCTGGAGCCTTAATACGGTTTGGAAGGCCATCTGAGGCTGCTCTTGAAGGGCGAGAAGGATGCTGGGAAGTGAGTGGCAGGCCATGCCGTTAGGGAGCAGAGTGGTACCTGTGGGGCCCCAGGAAGGACACCATCAACCTCCTAATAGAAAACAAGCATTTCCACTCAGGTAAGAAGCCCAGCCCTGTCTTCCTTGCCTGAGGGCCTGAAGCCCACAGGAATGCTCTGTTTCTAGGCGCGGGAAGTAGAATCAACAGTGAGGGCTCCCAGCTCCTGGGGAAGTTCAGACCTGATCCCAGGGAACTTGGGTCTCTATGGTGGAGACACAGGCAGTAGTGTGTGGGGACTCAGGAGTGTGAGTGTTGGGGGCGTGACTTTGGACAACATAACCTCTAGGCCTTACTGTCTTCATCTGCAGGATAGTTTGATGAAAGCACCTGTCCCACAGATATGAGGGCAAATGACATGGTACATATAAAGAGCTTGGAGCCCATCTCTAGAACATTCCATACATGTCAGCCATTGGCATAGTAAGAAATACTTGGTGAGGTCTGCTGAATGAACCAATGAGCTGATTACTGGGAGGAAAGGAGGCAAAAAGTGAGAAGATGGTTTTATCTGTTCCTCTAAGCTCAAAACTGGCTGGGCATCAGTCGCTCATACTTGTAATCCTAGCTACTCAGGAGACTAAGATTGGAGGACTGTGGTTTGAGGCCAACTCAGGCATAGGAGTCTGTGAGACTCTTATCTTTAATTAACTAGCCAAAAGCTGGAAGTGGAGTCGTGCCTCAAGTAACAGAGTGAAAAATCCTACGGACAATGCCAACGCTCCAAGTTCCAGCCCCAGTACCAGCACTAGAAAAGACAACAAACCCTTAAAGCTGTTGGATAGCTCTCATGTTCTCAGGGGTGGGAGTGTCCTAAGGATGTCTCAGACCTTGCCACAGTACCAGACTCCAAAGCTCCTGCCATGCCTGCCTACGGCCTCCAGCGCCACCCAGCTCCATCCCTCCCGCCAGGGCCAGCAGGTCCCATTTGGTTTGGGGCCAGTCCTATTGTGGGGCCAGTCCTTTCCTGTTCTTATAGGGAATCCCTGAGCTGGGCTGGCAAGGAGAGGGCAGCCACTGCAGAACCAGAGCGCATCTCGGGGTGGGGGTGGGGGGAAGTGCCAATCCATCAAGCAAACCCAGTCTTGACAACTCAGAGTGTATGTATGAAGACAGGCATGGGGTCTCTCTTCCTCTCGGTACCCCTCTCCAGCCACACCCCTCCTCTCCAGTCCCCTCTGAGAGCCATTTAGATAGCTCACGCATTGTTCCTTGGGCACCTTGAACTTTTCAAAGCACTTTCTGACTGTACATTCAATTTTTAAAAAATAAAACAGATCCTTGGTTGAAGCTCTGGAACTTTCCTCAGGACCAGGTTCTTCTTTTTGGGGGGGTGGGGGTAGGAAAGGAATCCTATATTCCCCTCCCTTTCCTCATACCCCCCTCCCCCTCTGGCCCCCTTCAGCCCCTAGAAGGCTCAGGATCAGCTCTGTACAGTGCTCTCTCTTCCTCCCTTAGATAAACTTCCTTTCAAAGCCTGGCTTAATCCTCTCTCCCCAGTCCCCAGCCATCCGCACTGCTGGGGGGGGGGGGGGGGGGGGATGGGCTCCACTGCAGGGCAGAGGGGGAGGGGAATGGCTGCCCCAGTAGTGACCCAACCAGACTCAGACTTCAATTCTCCCAAGTTCTTTGTGTCACAAAAGGTAAACAGAAGGCCTGGCTTCCCCTCCTCCCTCCCCGAGTTGGCCAGATGGGCCGGCAAGCTGGGGGGAAGGGAGAAGGGGGAAAAAAGGGCAGATTGTACAAAGGAAAACAAGAGAGATAGAGAGACAGCAGAGACGGGAAACGGGGAGAGACTGGGAGAGTCAGTGGTTGAGAGATTGGCGCGGGGGGGGGGGGGGGGGGAGGGGGGGGGTGCTACAAAGGGAGGTGCGAGGGCGGAGACTCCGGGGCAGAAGGAAGCACACTGGGAAGACTGCCTGGGACAGACCCCAAGTGGAGAGGCAGGGCAGAGGAGGCCCGGCAAAGGAGGGCCAGAGACAGTGACTATAAAGACAAAGAGGCAAAAGTGACCCGGGCCTGGGGACCAGAGGGGCAGGGAAAGTGGACGTGTCTCCACCCACACCCTTGCAGTGACTAGACTTCTTCCTGGAAAAAGTTGCCCACTTTCTAGTCCCCCAGCCTAGAGCAGGAGCAGCAGCAGCAGCAGCAGCAGCAGCAGCAGCAGCACACCCTCCTCACCTGCAGGGCAGAGGCTGACTGTTTGCTGTCATTGTTCCCGGGGGAGCTCAGACTGGAGGCCTGCTGTAGCAGGAACTGGCGGGCCACCTGGAGAGCCTGTAAGACAGGGGCTGAGTCAGTGGGGGCCCAGCAATAGCCTAAGAGGTGCGACAGTACCCAAGGAGTTGAGGGATGGGGGTGGGGGGGTGGCATGGGGGCGGGAGGAGGTCTTGAAGCTCGCAGGTCCATAGGGAACCACTGAGAATTGTCTGTCTGTAATAGTCACAGACCTCAGGGACTCACCCTGGAACCAGTGAGATTCTGTGAGGGTTCACTGAGGACAATGAGTGGAAAGTGGATGATCAAACAGGATCCAGGGCTGCAGGGCTCACTCCTGTAACTCCAGCTACCCAAGACGCTGAGGTCTGAAGATGGCAGTTCAACACCAGTGCCTGGACAGTAAAGTCCATAAAACTCTTATCTCCAACTAGCTACCAAAAAGCTGGAAGTGGAGCTCAAGTGGCAAACTGCCAGCCTGGGGTGATAAAAGCTAAGGGTGCCCAGGATATAGCATGGAGAGGTGTAGGGGCCAGATATCAGGGGGCAATAGCCCTAGAGCTGGCCAGCCCAGATGACCTCAAGGAGACATTGCTCAGGATGAAGAGATGATGTGTGACCATCCCTGGTAGGGTGGAGAAACAGCAGGGGTGGGACTTGGAGGGGAAGTTGGGGGAGATCCCAACTCAGTCTCTGGGGCAGAGAAAAGTAGCCAGGGGAGCTGAATTCACTCTTGCCGACTCTTTTACGTTGTGGTCCCCTGGAGCATGAAATTACAAGATTTACAGGGGAAAAAATGACAGGGCCTTGCAGTCTCATTCCTCCCTGTGACAGGCCTTCCACTCCAGGTCCTCCCCCCAGCAGGTCCCTTCCCCCTCCTCCCACCATGCCTAGGGTCCCCCTCCTTTAGACCAGATAGGAGAGAAACCAGGTAAGACTCCTGGCCTAGTCGAAGCTATCTATGCCTTCCCAGGCCCAGGTGCTGTGGCAGAGGACTAGAGAGCCCATTAAAGTGATGTACAAGGGAACGTCCACCTCTGCTGGTGGTGAGGGCTGAGCGGGCCTCCTGGAGGACTGGGCTCTCAGCGTTCTGAAGAGCCAGGTCCAAGTGGAGAAGTAAGGAGAAGGGTGTTATTGCAGTGACAGCAGGCCAGAGTTCAAATCCCAGACTCTGGGATTTGAAACTATCCCCAGGGCAGGCAGAAAGCTGAGCTGCTCCTGGGCTGCACTAGGAAAAGGCTGGAGAGGCCTACAGAGGCCTCTGGAAATGGGGGATCTTGACCTCCAGGCCCTTTCCTCCCTTCATTCTTTGCTTCATTCACTCACCATCAGCTCAGCACCTGCAAGCCAGCACCTGGAACTCGGAAGCTGACCTCGGAAGCTGACCTCGGATACCAGTGTCTTGACATATAATGTGCTTACAGCTTGACTTGGAACCAGTGTGAGACCCAGAACCATCTGAAGCCTAAAGATCATCTTGGTGTGCCAACTGATGGGAGCTTGGGCTCTGAATGCCTTTGCTCAGATGGCCTGGGCATGCCACCCACTGCTGGGGTGCTACAGATGCCGCTTCATGCCCCACTCCCTGCCTGCCACCAGCTTTGCCACCCATTCCCAGCCTGGGAAAACTTGCAGAAACAGAAGGAAGGCTTACACCAGGCACCAGTGGCTCATGCCTGTGATCCTAGCTACTCAGGAGCTGAGATCTGAGGATCACAGTTCAAAGCCAGCCTGGGCAAGGACTGAGGATCACAGTTCAAAGCCAGCCTGGGCAAGGAAAGTCTGTGAGACTCTTATCTCCAATAAACCACTACAAAACTGGAAGTGGCACTGTGGCTCAAGTGGTAGAGCGCTAGCCTTGAGCTGAAGAGCTCAGGAACAGCGCCCAGGCCCAGAGTTCAAGCTCCAGGATCAAAAAACAACAACAACAGCAACAACAACAGAGGGAAAGCTGGGGAGTGGGGGAGGTGAAGAGAGACAAACACAGAGTGGAAACCTGGCAGCCATTGGTCCTTAAGCCTCCTTTTCTTTCTCCATGTCTTGGATTGAAAACCATGTCCAGTGCTGTGGTTTGGAGGACAAGGCCTAGTTTTCCTTGGGGGGTGGGGGTGGGAAGATATAGTACTGCTTGAAGCATGGGTCATCCTGGCTCCCCTTGACACTGGGTGACCTTGGGTAAGACAGATCAGCCTGCTAAACCTGAGAGGGGGGTGGTGTTTATGTGTGTGAACACACAGGTGCACAGGCGCATGCCAATACTAAGGCTTGAACTCAGGGCTTCCGTACTTTATCACTTAGGGATGACACTTTACCATTTGAGCCACAGTTCTACTTCTGGCTTTTTGCTTATCAGAGATTAGAGTCTCATAGACTTTTCTGCCTGGCCTGGCTTTGAATTACAATCCTCAGTTTGCATTGAGTAGCTAGGATTATGGGCATGAACGCAGGCACTGGGTTTGAGCCTCAGATTTTCCCTTTGTAATGCTGGAGCAAGTTCACACTTCCTTCACAGGAAATCTGTGCAAGGGACAACATATGCCACATGGAGCCCTTACACACAGCACCCAGCAGGTCCTGGACCCACTATTTTAACTGTCATTAATCTATCACCATCCAGAAGACTCTGCAAACAAAACCCTTTTCTAGCCCATACTTCTCAGTCTCCTTAATGAAGCTGAATTCCCTTCCCCCAACCCCATTCAGAAGTCATGAGCAGGATCTCCACAATTAGGAACAAATGGCTTATGACGGATGGCATCCAGTACCCAGCAAGCAGCTAGGACACAGGGATGGAGGGAAGCAGAGCTACAGCAATGAGAGAGATGGGGGCCACTATGAAAAGAAAACCAAATCTTGAGATAGCGGAGGACAGGGTGGTCAATCACCATTTCTGCTGGAGGAGGGCTCAGAGCTGTGGTCGTTAACAAAGCTTGGTGCCAGGCTGTTTCACTGAATTGGGGAATGAGGCAGCCAAAACAAACCACACCCCAGTTTTTTTGTTGGGAATTTTGACAAAAGTAGGATTCAGCTTCATCCATATTGTCCTGAGAATTAATTGTCACTGGGTTTAACCAGGAGGATTAGAAGGAGTTCTGCCTCCCTCACCCATCTCAAACCTAGAAGTACTCCCAGGAGAGCCTGTCACTTTACTCCAGGGCCCAGGGTAATTTACTAAGTCACTGGCCATTAAATAATCTAAGGAGTGGCCAGGGAGGACCACTTACTCGCCCTGCCCTCCCATTGAGGGGCTTCCCTTCTACTGGATAGCCATAAACACTAAGCAAAGACACAGGAAACCTGGATTCTGTGTAATTATTATGCAGAGGATAGGCCACCTGGGATGTGTAGCTAGGAAAGGCCTCTCTGAGGAGACACCTTATAGCAAGAAAAGCCTTTTTTTCCTAAGGGGTACAATTTAAGGTGGAAGAAATGGATGGTACCAAGGCCCCAAGGTGGGAAAAACTAAAGAAAGAGGTTATAATAAACTAAAAGGACCTGCCAAGTGAGGCAACACACACCTGTAACCCCAGGCCTCTGTCGTAGACACAGGTGAATGGGGAGTTTGAAGCCATCCTGGACTATGTAGCAAGAATCTATTAAAAAAAAAAAAAAAAAAAAAACGGCTGGGAAGGTGGCTCAGTGGTACAGTGATTGCCTTGCATGCATGATGCCCTGGGTTCAATTCCTCAGCACCATATAAACAGAAAAGGCTGGAAGTGGCACTGTGGCTCAAGTGGTAGAGCACTAACCTAGAGCTGAAGAGCTGAGGGACAGTTCCAGACCCAGAGTTCAGGGCCCATGACCAACAGGGAAAAAGATAAAAAATAAAAAAAGCACACACAGACACACAGACACAGACACAGACACAGACACACACACACGAGATAAATGGCTAGTGGCTGATGGCTCACAGGTGTAATCCTGACTACTCAAGTGGCTGAGATCTGATGATCAAAATTCAAGGTGAACCCAGGCAGGAAAGTCCATGAAACTCGTATCTCCAATTAATCACCAGAAAACTGGAAGTGTTGGGGGGGGGGGGGGGGAGGAGGATGGGAAGGGAAGGGGAAACAAAGGAGGAGGCTACAATGCTTGATAAGAAATGTACTCATTATTTTGCCCATGTAATTGTAACCCCTCTGTACAGTATTTTCACAATAAAAAATAAATAAAAATTAAAAAAAAAGAAAATGAAGTGGCACTGTGGCTCAAAGTGGTAGAGCACTGGCCTTGAAAAAAGGAGCTCAGGGACAGCACCCAGGCCCTGAGTTCAAACCCCCAACTGGAAAAAAAAAAGACAAATTATAAAGATTAGTGTAGTAAAACAAAGTAGCCCAAGAGGTGTGCAGATGTTACATCAAATAGGAACATAGATAGACAGATAGATGGATACGTAGAGGACTTTGAATAGAAAGTGATTAATTAATCTTTAATGGTAGATACCTAATTCCCTGCTACAAAACAGCAGGTGTCTAATAAATATTCCTTGACTTCAACTAAACACCCATCCCTCAAAATTGAACTCCTCAGGGAGCAGAGGGTGGGAGGGGGGAGGGAAATCAGGGAGATGGGACCAGAGGTCAGGTCAGTGACCAGCACCATGGAGGGCACTGACCTAGAGAAACACAAGTTCTTGACCAGCTAGACTTTGTCTTCTAGCAAAAGGTCATTAAGAAAAAGAAGGAAGGAAGGAAGGAAGGAAGGAAGGAAGGAAGGAAGGAAGGAAGGAAGGAAGGAAGGAAGGAAGGAAGGAAACTGCATGAGACTAAAGGAGGGTGGGGTAGAGGTAGAGGAGACCATAAAACTCAGAAGTGATTCCACATTCCCACCCCCACCCCCCCAGCCTTGGATTTTTTTTTTTAAGAAGCTTTTTGGAAAAGGCAGTAAATTTTTTTTACACCAACCTCATAAAAATGACATCGGCACATTCTCAAATTAGAACTATTAAAATGAAAACCAGCGACGCACAGCAGACAGACAGTCCCGCGTGGGTAGGAGATACATCCTGTGTGCACAGTGGCGGTCTCTGGACCCTCCTCCATCCCTGCCCATTGTCCCCAAGGAGCTGGTCCTGGGAACCACCCTCAGGAGGCCTCCTTTCTCCTCTCTGTCACCAGCACTGCCCAGATGGGCTTCACAGCATGGTGACCCAGCCTCAGCAGCTCAGCTCCCAGCCATCGCCTAGGCCAGCTTCAGGATACTGGGAGAGACAGGGCTGGGGATCAGTGCCTGGAAGGGCATCTGACTGATGCAAGTAAGGAAAGAGGCAAGGTATGCATGGTGGAGGGAGAGAGGTGAGCGTGGTAACAGTGGCTGTCCTCTCTCATGGTGGAATTCAGC